CACAGGCACCTTTCAGTTACAAAGCCTAAGAGGTTTCACCCGGCACACGCACCTTTCAGCTACACCGCCTAAAAGTTTGGTTCCCGCACACGCACCTTTCTGTTACAAAGTCGAAAAGGTTTCAACCGTCACAGGCACTTTTCAGTTACAAAGCCTAAGAGGTTTCACCCGGCACACGCACTTTTCAGCTACACAGCCTAAAAGTATAGTTCCCGCACACGCATTTTCAGTTACAAATCCTAAAAAGATTAATCCGGCCCACGCACATTTCAGTTACACAGCCTAAAAGTATGATTCACACTCACCTTTCAGTTACAAAGTCGAAAAGGTTTCAACCGTCACATCCACCTTTCAGTTACAATGCCAAAAAGGCTTCATCCTGCACACGCACCTTTCAGTTACACAGCCTAAAAGTGTGGATCCCCAACACTAACCTTTCAGCTACAAAGCCGAAAAGGTTTCCTCCGGCACACGCACCTTTCAGCTACAAAACATTTACTGAGCAAAGGCTTAAAAAGTTTTCGGTGACCAAGGGCCTAAAAGGCTTCGGCAACCAAAGGCTAATTAAGGCGGGTACCGCACTCGTGGCCTTCAGTGACCAAAGGCTTAAAAGGCTTTCGGTTACTAAAGGCTTATTTATGCGGGTATCGCACGCGTGGATTTAGGTGACCAAAGGCTTATTAGGGCGGGTACCGCACGCGTGTCTTTCCGGTTACAAAAGCCTAGTTGTACTAAGTTTTCCAAAGCTTAGCTTTACAAAGCTTTGAAAGCTTAATGGGTTTGGAAGGGTAATTTTTGGAAGAATTGGTAGTGCAGGCTGATCTTGCAGATTTGGCAGTTCTGGCTGACCTGGTAGTTCAGGTTTATCCGGGAGCTCTGGCTTATCTGGCAGATCTAGCAGTTCCGGCTGATCAAGTAAAAGTTCGTATAGGCTTTAAGGTTTCGAAAGCTTAGTAAGAGCTTAAAGCTTGAAAGCCGAACGTCTGGTTCTGGTCAATCAGCAATGTAAGGCTGCTGGTTGGTAGTTCTGGCCAGGTAAAGCTGGACCTGGTAGTTTCGGCTGATCTGGTAATTTTGGCTAATCTGGTAAACTATTGGTTCTGGCTGATCATGTACAGTAAAAGTTCGTACAGGCACTAAGGTTTCGAAACCTTAGTACTGTCGAAAGCAGAAGGTAGAATCGGTTGTTATAGCTTATCAGGCAAAAGTTCCTACAGGCACTAAGGTTTAGAAAGCTTAGTAACGTTAAAAGCTTGAAAGTCGTAAGGCTGGTTTTGGCCAATCGGAAACGTAAGTCTTGTTCTGGCCGATCAAAAGGTAGGACTGGTTCTGGCCAATCAGATTTGGAGGCGGGATCAGTCTCGCACAGAGAATCCTGCTTTAATAAACTGGATTGCATAATTATGATAGCGCATGGATCGGTTATGTGGTGCTTTCGGTTTTTGGCAACCGCTCGTTCGTCGCGCGGAATTCTGTTTATTCTAGCCTCCTCCTGGTTTTAGTCTAAAAACGGTGTCAGCTCTCGCAACATTGTTTTCAGACTCTTCACTCTCTCTTCAGATCCAGAAAACATGTTGGCAACGGCAGCCGTGTTGTATAATAGTTTGGCTCCGCTTTGAGCGGCGTTAGCCAGTTCTCTACGTGAGATTTTTCTGAAGATTTTCTTCAATGAGCGACATAAGTAGTTGTGAGGATTTTTACATTTTTCTTATTTTAGGCAAAAGTATACTTATAATGCAGTAGAATCATATGCGCTGTGTCAGCGAGATTAAGGTGGTGTGCCATGCCAGGACCTTTGCAAGCTCGCATAGAAACTCCGAAAAGATCTGCCGATCGCGGGAGTCGAACGAACCCGCGCCACTATAACAATATATTAGGACACAGTGCCATCGAGAGAGCATTGTATTGAAAAGTTTTATCGAACGATTCTGTAAAGATAGGCTGCTCAGCTCCCTGACACCATTTCTCATAATAGCCTTTTAGAACATCTAATCATCAATCTTCTCTGACTGTAGACAGTAAACGGGTAAGGCGTTGTTCTACAACGTCTCCCGCCAAGCTAAAAGCATAGTCCCAGCTGGCGCCTAAGGTCATACAATGAGCTTGCCATTGGCCTGCATCGAGTTTGCCATCGCTAACTCTTTAAGACTTGAGTTACAGTGATATTCAGTTTTAAAGTAATCAGTTTCGAAGTGATCTGCAATTAAGTCGTTCCTGAAAACTATCAAATTTTGCCGCGTAAATTTCGTTCGAGCAAAGGTGGTTGGTGCATTTGAAAAGATATCCGCACCAAGGTGTGGTTGTTAAAAAGCCGAAAAACTTAAATCTTGTTACAAATCTCATCCTGGTAATTCGTCAGGTTTTCTTTGCAGATTAGCAAACCTACGTCTGCCATGGACGCCATCACAACGTATCCTTTTCGGGGTCTAGCATGCGGGCCACGCGAGATCAATAACGGGAACACGGTTATGGTGCAGCGAAAGAACGGGGACTGGTGGCTGGGATATGTTCAGGATATCGACGAGGATCTCATGTTTATTAACTTCGATTCCACTACGGCTCCCGTCGGCTAAATTCACTCAAGTTACATCCGGGCTCAACGCTTTTTAAGCGATGATTTGGCATACTTTGAAGTATAGAATAGACAGGGAAGTGACAGCAACTGGCAGTTACGCAGTGCAAGTAGCGCTGCGCAACACCGAGAACGGACCACACGTTTTTCGTCCGGCAAGAGTCCTTACGCCAACGACTCGATTGGATATGTTCTATGTGCAACTGGACCATGCGACTACGCCACAACGTCTGGTGGTCCATTTATGGCAGATTGCCGTCGCGATTGATACCGCTTTCGATGCGCCACCGCTGCTCAACCAAACTAGCAGACTGCACTATCGCAAATTCAGCGTGCACTTCCCGAATGCTAGCGGGATTGCGATGCTGGATTTGACCGCCATGCGAAAATGCCTGTACACGGCAGCACAAACCCCTTCCACAATTCCACATGGAGGCTATGCCCCTGGTAACGGGTATGTTGCCTACCGCTTCTACGTCGCCAACAGTGGCGATTCTTTCAACTTTATCTGTGCCCAGCTGCGTGATGAGCATGTTAACGATCGTGCCGAATGGGACCTGGATACTTTAACACAAGCCTGTGCTAACATGTACCCGATTCCGGATCTGCCCTTGTTAAATTATACTCTGATTGAAGTTCCTCAGCACGGATTAATATTCAGTATCCTTATAGTCTTACACCTTTTATTCACCGAGTATATGGCACTAAAGTAATATTTGATGTTTTAGAAGGGCAGCTGAGCAATGCTTCGCTGTTTGTTGCTCGGTACTTTCAAATTACGCTTAGAGTCAACAGATAGATGATAGCTTCTGTCTTGTGGATCTTTTTAACTGCATTAAATAAGTACTCCAGCTTGCTGTTAAAAAGCTTTATATCGCAAACTAAGTGTGTTGTCTGAAATTGTAGGTAATGATGGATGGATCGGTGATGTGGTTCATCCGGTTATGGCCTGCATTCTAATCAGTTTGGACCTGTACACTCAAGCAAAGGCAAAAAGGTAACGCCAAACAAAAATTGACCTTTGCAAGAAGATAGATTTCTTAGTTTTAAGGTCTACACAAAAAATTTTCTCAAGAACTCTTGTCGCTGCTTGAAGATCACTTAAATTTTATAAACAGTGTACGACCTGCAGTATACGACTCTATGATAAAGGTGTCGTATTTTATGATTTAAGGGTTTGTGCGTTGTGGCATCAGCTGTTATCCGACGGTTGCGCCAGCCGACACCTTGTCATCGACAGCTCGATAGTGAAACCGAGTAAATTTTCTGAATACGTTGTTAGCTGCGACCCCATGTATAAGTTCAGCTGGGCGTTAAATCAGGCCCTAACCGCGGGCACCAAAAGCCTCGCTCTCCTCGATGACCTCCAGTTCACAGACTTGTGCGCCGTCACAGTGGTGTTAGGAGCGCTGTTGACCATCAAGGGGATGCAGCTGTTGTATATCCTAATCAAAGATGGCTTCTCACGATACGGTATTGCGAACTGGGGTGACATGTACGACTTGCTCGAGCCCAGTGATGATCACGCCGATCGCATTTGGAAATGCGACAATTTGTCCAAACTCATGACCGTTTGCCAGCGTCTCATGCTGCGCAATTATGTAATCCAGGATATTACCGGGGTTATAGAATATCAGGTGTTTTGGCACGACGACTTTCCACGGCAGGAAGCTGATCTGACCAGAGCCGAACTGAAAGATAGAAACCGGAAAGTTCCAGTTACAATGACGTGTCTAATGCTGCATTCCGATGATGGTGATGCCGGTATGCTCCGCAAATTTCTGCTCGCTGCGGAAATAAACTACCCTCCGCTTGATTCAACAGTACACAACAAAGTACGCTGCATCCATCGGCGCTGGGTGGACGTTCTGGAGTATCCCAATCAGTGGCGCTCCATTCGACGACTCTTTCAGCTGTAGGTTTTAGAGATTTATGTGACTGCATTATGCATAGCATGCCTTTCATAAATATGAATTTGTTATGATTTTGTAGGTACTGTGGTTTCCAACCCGATGGCAGTGAGCGTAGTTGGACGGATGTTGATCTGAGACAGGTGGATGTGTGCACTCTTACTAAGCCAACACTTGCAGCAATCAATTCGATGTTTATTGTGCCACTTCCTTGATGACCTTAAACTGCTGTTCCTCATTGTTTTTTGTCGGCGTTGCTTACGAGCAAACAAGGATTTGGTCAACTAGGTCTTTTCTTTATTGCGCGTGATATGCACCAGAAGTATATGTACGCGATAAATCATTTCAGTAATTTCTGTATTAGAAAGCCGAGATCAGCTGGAATGCTGACGCCGCTACCGAAGTTTAAAACAATGGCGCTCGGTTTATAACTTCACGATTTTCTAATGATTTTTCATTTTTCGCTTCTGTACAATTATTGCTGATGCAGTATGTCATAACAACTCCAGGTATAAACTACGATGTATTCGCATGCTGCGGACTTTGGATCATTGTGCCGGTTGAACGAAAACATTTTAATTGGAAGTGTAAATCGGATTTAAAAAAACATTCGACTGCTAAAAGTGACAATACCACAAAATTTATTAGCTCGAGACACAAGCTGCCCTTTTAGTAAACATCAGTGAGGGAGTTGAGAACAGTTTGGAACTGTGCGGCGTTGTCGTTAAGCGTCAACTCGCAGGCCGTGGCATTGAATGGCCCGGCGGTACCGGCTACGACACTCTGCATTATGCGGACGTTGCGAGCGGCACTCAGGAAATTGTTCAGATACTTCCCGGGATTGGTTGCGTTGGCATTGGCATCAGCCACGACGAACAGCTCTACGAACACTTGGCCCAGCTGCTGGAGAATGTATTGATATCTTCCTGTAAATTTCCAACTTATTTATACATGCTTTACCAAAACGTTTTACGCGTTGCCTTATTCATCAAAATTCACGATAAATAATTGATACGGAAAACAGTTTTAAATATAGATATTTTTATTGGTAATCATAAAGCATTCAACCGTAAAAGTCATCGTTCATGAAGTAGTACATATTCATACAGATATTCTATATTTTTTGGTTCGTCTTAAAGTGAAGAAAGAGTGTACTGCAGAAGTACAATTAGATCAACAGCGAACTGAATTTTTAATGATTTCATGGTCACCTTCGCATTGCAGACCGGTCTGTGCCATATCGCAGTTGGCCTTCTGCTGTATGAGCTGGTCGCAGGTGGCGCCGGGAATGACGTCGTTAGCGTGCTGCATAACGCCGTTAATCTGGGTGACAGTCTGGTTGGAAATCGTGAGACAGTTGGCTTCGTTGACCGGTTGCTTTCCACTGGCGATGTCGCCCACCAACTGGGCATTCTGTTGCCCTTGGATGACGATGGTTAGGAAAAGCCCAGTGTCATTGTTCAGCGGTTTGTTTACGTTGGCACTGGCAATGGCGGATAATTCGCCGACATAGGTGGCGTAGTCTCGATCAACTTGCTTATACAGTGCTGCAAAACAGTGATAGTTTCTCTACGGGAGCAATCAGTATTCAGTGCAACATTACCGTAGACGTAGCTCTTGCAACAAACCCTTGCATTGTCGATGGATTCATTCGAGTTTTGTTAAGTTAATCGCAGCAGACGAATGTAAAGAAATGCGCTCCGATAAGAATTACTAGTTTGACAAAAAACTCCGGCCGCACATCTGTTTATGGAAACCGCTTAGTCTTCGAAGCTTAAATGCGTTTTCCGTTGTACGAACCACAATGACCAAAATTCTTATATATTTGTTATACATACAGTAATTATATACAAACAAACTCACACACTGTCTATAATACATACGGATCAATACATGTACAAGCCTGTCCGGTAATTTCCTACGTAAAGGTACAAGCAGCAGTTACTTAACGCGGAGTTTGCGCTGTGACAGTTGCCACTACACTGCGTCGTGAATTTGTATACTTCGCTATCTTGATCGTCAAAAATTATCGGACCAGTTTGTACTTACAAGCTTAGCTTGTCCGGTAATTTCTGCCCGCACAATAGAGCGAAATACACAAATCTGCCTGTTGCGCCAGACTCCATGCTACGGCGCGCCACGCCACACTGTTTAAATACGTAACATACATCTGGCTGGTTGGTGGCTTCATGTACGTCAGACAATTTACTGAGAATAACAGTAACTTCCTGGCGGAAGGTGGCTAAAAAACGGTCGGTGTAGTAATGGACAAAAAGTGCGGAGCGCATTAGGCAATCCGATAAGCGTAGTGACTTGGCCATCGTTTTAAGCGCAAATTTTGTACCTTTACGACAGAAATTACCGGACAAGCTTGTACATGGTTGTTTAAGTATGTGATGTATACGCAAGTAACGCAACCGTAGCAGATGTACCTTCGCCGGTTAGACCATTCCAGCTAGCTGGTTTTGCTGGCGCACAAGAAGGGCTTTGAGCTTCAGCCCGGATGGAAAGAATAGCAAGCAGTAACCAGGCGAGTCTTGCGGTGGAAGTCATTCTTGCTGATGAGATGAAAAACATCAAAACAAAACTTCGGAAAGCTTTAGCAGAAGTACGTTGGTTGACTCGGCGATCGGTGTAGGCAGCTTGTAAGGCACAGCAAGATTGCAAGCCGCTACAGAAAAACCGCAGAAGCTGGTAGCCTGGAGCGACTGTTCATTCAACTCTACCTCTTGGACAGTCAATCAGGTCATTTTTTTCGGTTTATTTCTACTCGCCTCTCTGCACGAAAATCATACTGTAACGGCATCTTGCGGCAGCTCGTACGTTGCCGCTAGCGAACCGTGGTACGACAGAAAGGCCTGATGCTGTTTCGAAAACGGACTGAAATGAGTCAATAATGTTCGATTAACGATCACCACCTTGCCATATTATGTATTATGTTTTTTTACGACGGTTAATCAGAGTGTTTATTTTTGTTTTAGGTTTTTAGGTCAGGTTAGGTTTTAATGCTTAACGTCTGCAAATACAAGGAATCACTCCTTATCGAGATTTGCAGACACGGTCAATAAAAACTTCAGCGGAAAAGTAGTCTGGTGTTACAGTTTGTGTACGGAAAAGTTTGTGTTACATGTTTGTTATAATAACTTTTATTATAGCACTCACTTCTAGTACACACTAGTGACCCTACTACACAGTCACATATTGTACGGTACTTACAATTAAATACCGGTCACCCGGAGTGTTTCAGTACTCAGTCGTTTGTCTACTGCTGTCTTAAATCCATTTTTTTTCCCAGCTGGCATGGAAACCATCATTCTGCGGGTGCGTGCTTTTAGCCATGCTTCACTAAAGGTGACCCGTAGTTTAATAAATACTTAATTGTGATCAGTACGAGTAATGTAATTGCAAACACCGTGTTAGCGGACTGTTCCGCCACCATCCACTATCCAGTCAGTTTAAGACAGTTGAAAGCTGTATCAGCATGGACAACAGCGAATGTTTGAACAATGTCAATGTCTACCATAAAACCTAGATGATGTGTGCAATATGATACCGATACCGCTCCCAAAGAAAAAGCTATCGTGCTCCTTTTTCCTACTACTTATATTGTAGCAGAAGAACCTCCTAGATGCTCAGCAATGAGAAGTGCAAAAACCAGTTGTACCACAAGCACAAAGAATTTTGTCCAATCTGAACTGCAGAAGTTTCTCTGTTAATCGCATTTTCCGCGATTTGGCACGCCGTAATTTATATCCATGAATACTAACGGAACAGCTAATTTGTCCACTTCCGGGACACCCTTCACTGCCCAAATGCCGCTGCAGTGGAATACCTTTGCGATCATTATGCTGATCACCGCCGCTACTACCGCGATCTTGAACATGCTGGTGCTCGTAACGTTCTTCCGAGGAACCGCTTTCCACACCCCGTTCAACATTTATTTGGTTAATCTGATGGCAGCCAACCTCTTGCACATTTTACTGGTTAAACCATTCGACCTGATCTCTACAGTAGCGCGCGGATGGAATTTGTCATTTTCCACGTGCACCTACTACCTGTGGGCCTCATACATCGTCGACTCAGGAATGTACCATGCGACCGCGCTGATTGCCATTAATCGCATCTGGGCGGTGACCTTTCCCGTCAGTTACAAATACCGGCACACGAGAGTAGCAGCTGGGTGCATATGTTTGGGCAGCTGGGTGTACGTCCATACTCTCCAGCTACCAGAGATTATTCGCGATGCACTATGGTACGAATTGTTCTTAATCAATACAACTGGAAGTTCTTTCTCTCCCAGCAAGATGTAGAAGGTTAGAAAATCGTGAGTACGCTGCTCATTGGCTAGCTGACGTACTGGCTACATATCGTTTACATCATTTAGTACGGAACTGTACAAAGGCAGAAGCATCAAGAGAAAGAAATGCAAAAAACTAAATCATTTAAATAATTACAGGTATCGACATCAGCAATCTTCATCATTTTGCTTAATGGCCGTTAGCGGGCAGTATCCACTCGTCGTATTCACTGAGTTCTGGTGTTATGTTCTACCGGCAGGCATCACCTTTAGCGCTTTTCCTTATGTAATGTATAAGCGACGTAAGCGTATTCTTGCAAGTGATGAAACAAGTGGGAAAAACATCACAGTCATCAGTGGAATTCGGAGCAAGAACCCCGCACGACCAGATAATGCTCTCGGCAGTAAAGTTCTGGCGCCCCATAAGAAGCGATCCAGTGGCTACATTATTTACACGGCATTAACCATTACGGCGTTTGTCTGCTGGACACCCAATCTTGTCTTTTTTAAAATGAACTTATTATCGGGACACTATGATGAGACCGTTTACGAAATCACGGCCATTATGTTTATGTTACAAGCCGCCCTTGATCCTCTTTTCTTCGTCTTCAGCTTGAAGGATATCCGCTTCTACCTGAAGGCAGCTTTGTGCTGCACATGCTTATGAAACAATTCAGACTTGCAGTATGCTCATTAAAGACGTTAATAAATCAAGCAAAGCTGAAGTGGAATGTCCAACGGTTAGATTAGTGTAATACAGTCTTTTATTCCTCCCTTTCATTCAATCAAGGACCCGAATGTATCCCCCAAGTTCCCAAACTGGTTCAGGTGTGAAATCGAAATTTACTTTCATTGCAAACGTTAATGCACATTTGCAAACTTCAGTCAGGAGTTCATCATGGAAACGCCACATGGGAGCTGGCGACCGGTTTTCGAAACGTAAAGTAAGAGTGACCGGTTGTTAAGAAATGCCGAAGTGCCTATTTGTTGCCGATATACAGTAGTTGTCCAGTCATTGACCTGTGGCCTTACAACATTTCAGGTAGCCGGAGCGTAGTTGTTTGCTGCAGTCAGCAGCAAATGTACGAGCACTGCAAGACAAGATAGAAACCGTTGAAAATATGTCGGATGATTGCCGGTGCACTTAACTAAACTTTGAGCATTTTACGCTATTTGGAGCGTTTGATTAGGACAATAAGCACTTCTCTGGATTTTATTAATCAATGTTTTCGTGTCTGCTGAATAAAAAAGGCATTAATGTATGCGCTGCCCATCCCTGGGCTATCACTGCTCGCCGGCGCTGAATTATGTGATTTTCGGCTTGAACACTGTACAATCTAACAGCGTTTTTCCGGTGTCAATTTTGGTGGCCAACAGTACATCCGATGTGCAGCCGGATGTATTGCTAACCGGTTATCGAAACTGGTCACCGGTGAATGGCAGCGCCATTGTCCGTCTTGCGGTTCTTCTTTTTATGTCGAGAACAGCAGACTGTCGTTTACAACATCAGATGTCATCCGAGCCAACGTCCTAACGCGGGTCGATATAGAAGTACGTAAAGTACAATTACCCGCGAATATCATGTTTACCAAAAACTAGGGAAGTGCACCGCTTTTGGCTAGCACTATTAGACCGAAGCAAAGCCGGAAACTGAGTTTTGTACAGAAATACTTACAATTGTTAGGTTATTTTTATGTGGTTTTAATACGCAACAGCCACCAAATTAACAAAAAAATTGCAACTGCTGGCACTATATCACAGTGAAAATTCAAAAACAAAATTGAAACTGCTTCTAAATCGGAAAACGCATCAAATTATGTTCTGACAGATCAAGTGATTTATTTCTATTCGCATATTTCAGAAATCTTTCAGTTTCAGAGGTCACCTATTGCGGAAGGGTCACACCAGCATCAGATCGTTGTATCTGTAGTGCTAAACTGGTGCTAAATAATTGTAGCACCCACAGAAATGTGAAAATACTATGCACCACACTGACGTAATCGGAGAGTTTGCGCTGCATTTAAATTATTATACGCAAGCTTTTTTTTTCAAAGGTGGGTGAATTCAAGCCCTGCAACGTCAGTCGTATATCTGAGCGTCAGTGTTTCGGACTCGACGAACTTGTTCACTGAGTACAGTATGTAACACCAGTGGCAATGGACAATGCAACCATGGGAACGAAGGGCGCGCTTTCCAAGCGCTCTGGCAGACCCCTGTTCCAGATACAAACGGACCAGCCATACTATAAAGCCAACGATACCGTGCGATTTCGCGTATTGACAGTGCAATCCGGGGCGGTTAAACTTTAAACTACTTTTTTTTCAGAGTTAAATTTTCCGAAAAAAAGTGTTTGTTTTTGTGTTACATGTTAGTTTTAATAACTCTTACCACTTATTCTTAGTATACAGCCATAGGGTGTACCCACAGCTACGTACATATTGTACAATTAAATACTGTTCTACCACAGTGTTTCGCTATTCAGTCGCTATCACTTGTCGGCAGACTGATTATATGGTCACGTGCATAGTACTAATTACTAATCATCTGAATAGTACTAATCATCGGAATTCCTTATCTGTCTGATTTCGGCTTCTCAATTAGTCGACTGCGTTCCTTACCATGGACAACAAAATTAGGTATGGTCTTGTTAATTCAGTAACCGAGCATCGCCGTTCTTAGAAATGTTGCACCGAAATTTACTCTGCACTAATCGCAGAGATCCCGAGATACATTTGCCGAAAATCATATACGTGTTTCAGGATCAGCAAAGCGGAAAGGCTGCTTTATGCTTACGTTAGTTTTGTTCGGCGTTAGGGTTCTATGCTCAGTAGTTAGTGGTTACGCTCAGTCTGCAACCTTTTGAGAAACTGTTACTAGTGCGAATTGTTTCTTAAATAACTGAAAATGTTCAAGAGCAATGTTCACCGTTACGGCGCAGTGGACGTGCGGGATGACGCCGGGCTTGTACGTCGTGGCATGGTTGTTGACGTAGACTCCGACAGACGTGGGCTAATTGTGGATTTCGATTATCCGGGACACCGTGCGGATTTCGTGTCCTTTAAAGATCGGGCACTATTTGACTATGTCGAAATGCCTAAACATAACAGCATGGAGGATACTGTTCGAGTTCTTTGGCAACCTTCTTCCAGTCAACCGTGGGGCTGGTATCCCGGCAAACTTCTGGCAGGGGTGCGGCTAGTAATTATGCTTTTGTGCAGTACAACAGTGGAGATGAGATTTATCGCGAGGTGACCCCGTTCGACCGGGTGGGCAGGAGGGCAGTTGGACGGAGAAAGCTGCGGGTGGCTCCTGCTAGCTTCTTCAAAAAACGCACACTACAACTGTCTGAAAACGCAAAAGTGCTCCAGCTTACGGGAAGGGACGATTTTATAAGCTGTGGAACAAAAGAACTGGCACGCTGCTGATTAAACTTGATGGGAGACTTGTGACGTACATTGCAAAATGTGACTTATCAACCAAGTCCGATTTAGTAAGTTATCAGATAATGTAATTTGCCCGTGCGAATTCTACTTGGTTTACAACGATTCTCCTGTAGAAGGAATTTTTCTACAAAGATTTAACAAAAGCCGGTCGAGGAACGAAGAGGTGCCGCAAAGATGAATTGGAATCTGAAGACGAAGCCACTGAGATCGATGATGAGAACCGGGCAGTTATGGACCAACTTATGGTACTTATCTAGTAAATTGCTGAAGTAGCTCTTTGCAATACCGCAGCATTCATTACTCCTACTTTAGCGACACTACAAGAGCGAACTTAACAGCATCTTAGCCGGTAACTATACAAGCTAGGGATGTCGAAAAACGATTTTTTACATTGAAACTTAAGCACAGTGTTTAAGACTTTATAGTTTTGATGGGTTTCCTGGTGATAAGTACATACAGTGCCAGCCGTAGCGGTAGGACACGTTATTCAGTTGAAAATTTAAAATAACTCAGTAGTCGAGACTGTATTTCTTACAAGTGCATGTGTGCATACCTTGTATGATTATTTTAGTAGCTTGAATAGATACATCTATTTTATTTTATTCTAGGGTGATCTCCAGCGCCAGAAGGAAGATGCTACCGAGAGAAACATCAACACGTACCTGCCTCCTGAAATTTTGTCCAATATATTGTTCTTTCTGACCGCCGACGACCAAATCACATCTCGGCAAGTATGCTCTGAGTGGAACGTCTTGCTGACGTCAGTTCCCACTATTTTCCATGTGGAGATCGACCTAAGCAAGTGCCAGTACAGCAACCGGAAAACGGCGTGGACATTATTCAAAACTGTATCGCCATCCACAAGGACGCTGGTTATTACGGACTCTAGTCGGAAGAAGCGATGCGAAGCACGCAATCTGCTTGTGATCAGAGATATGCTCAGAGCGCTGAACGTGAAAGTCCCTACAACCGTCATGTCGCATGTGACGGTTGTTTGCAGCTCGTTGTTGACGCATGACTGGATACCGCAACTGCACTCCGTATGGTCCACGGTCTGTAATCGGTTGGTGTTGGACGAAGTGAAAATCATTGTCAGGGAAACATACTGCGGACGAACAATCGAAAAACTGAAAATTCTATGTGGATTGGAAGTGTTTCCTTCCACTCATGATACCCGTCATTACACGGTGGTCCAGTTGCCGAGGAATATATGTCTTAACACGAAAGAGTGGACGGAAGCCGTCGCTGTGTCACAAGACAAAACTACGTAACAGTACAAAACTAGTATGTCGGTAACCACCAGGGACTATAAAAGAAGTGGAAAAACCAATATTACCTTTCCGAGCTAATTCGGTGTTACCTAACTTATACTTACCGTTGTGCTTTTTTTATGTTTACGGTTCTCTAGTCGGTTGACATTTGACATACATATAATCACGATGGTACGGAATGACACCATTTTCTTCGCTGGCCTTTGCCTGACGCGAATTGTATATTATTAATTGTATATTATTTGCCGATCTAGACCCATTAGCAATTAATATTTAGCAAAACAGAACTTTCAAAATTTAATTTTGAGTCATTTCAGTGAAGTAATTGTTGATGAATGCTGTAACAGACAATGGCGAGGAGATCACGAGTGTGTCTTTATTGACAAATAAAGGCTGACAATGCTGCGTAATAGCAGTCAAGGAAGAACAAAGGCACGTCTGGCCAAATCTAGCAAGTGTCCGCTAACAGGGTTCTTGAGCGTCTGCCAAGGCGTTGAAGAATGCTGGCGGCAACCACGTGCGTGCTGCAGGCCAGATGCGTCAGCTGTGTGATGATGCGCAGACTGGACTCTATCCAACGCGAGCGTATGAACGCTGAGTAGTACTGCGAGAGAGGAACGAGAGAGCAAGTACAGCTCAGTGTGTGCGCTGCGTATATCCGCTTCAGCGGATGAGTCAGTGCAGCAGCAGCACACGTACGTACAGCGAGAGAGGCGATAGCGGCATGCAATGGGTGCAAGTACGTCCTGTGTGGACCGTACGCACCAGGCGCAGGCTGCCGCCGCTGACATGCCTCTGGGCGGGAATCCGAGCTCCTGCGAAGGATGCTCCGACTCGGTACCGCACCAGTACCGCACAACTCTCCGGTCGGACCCATTGTGGGGTCGTCGGTACGCGTCCTCTGGCAGTGGAAGTCCGGTGTCTGGTCGACCGTCCCTTCTTCACTTCCGAAC